GGCTGCCCCTCCGGCAGCTGGCGCATGGGTTTGGTGGTGGCTCCATTGCTCCGTTCTCAGCAGTTCCTCCATCCCTCCATCTATCTTCAGGGGTTCCTCTGTCCTCCATCCATCCATCCCTCCATCCATCTTCAGGGGTTCCTCTGTCCTCCATCCATCCATCCCTCCATCCATCTTCAGGGGTTCCTCCATCTCTCCATCCATCCATCTCTCCATCCATCCCTTCATCCATCTTCAGGGGTTCCTCCATCCCTCCATCCATCCCTTCATCCATCTTCAGGGGTTTCTCCATCCGTTCCTCCATCCCTCCATCCATCCGTCCATCCATCCCTTCATCTATCTTCAGGGGTTCCTCCATCCATCCATCCATCCATCCATCCATCCATCCATCCATCCCCATCCATATTCCCAGGAGCGGATGGAGAAAGCCCTGAAGAACCTCCTTGACATGGTCATCTCATCGCTCATCCTTCTTCTGGGGTTCCACCTGACCTTCTTCAGGGGTCCCTTCACCTCCTCGTCCTGCCCCCCCCCCCCCCCTCCCACCACCCACCTCCTCTCTTTGTGGTTTCTCCACCCCCGTGTCCGCAACTCCATTGCTTTCCTTCACCTGGAGGTCCCCCAGCCCCTGTCCCTGTGGTGGCCTCTCACCAGGAGGTCCACCCGTCGTCTCCCCCTGTGGTGGCCCCTCACCTGGAGGTCCCTGTGGTGGCCCTGTCCCTGTGGTGGCCCTTCACCTGGAGGTCCCCCATCCCTGTGGTGGCCTCTCACCTGGAGGTCCCCCAATCTCCCTGTCCCCATGGTGGCCCCTCACCTGGAGGTCCCCAATCCCCGTCCCTGTGGTGTCCCCTCACCTGGAGGTCCCCAATCCCCGTCCTTGTGGTGTCCCCTCACCTGGAGGTCCCCAATCCCCCATCTCCAGGGTGTCCCCTCACCTGGAGGTCCCCGTGGTGGCTCCATCCCCGTGGTGTCCCCTCACCTGGAGGTCCCACCATCTCCCTGTGCCCATGGTGTCCCCTCACCTGGAGGTCCCACCATCTCCCTGTCCCTGTGGTGGCCCCTCACCTGGAGGTGCCCCATCCCCGTGGTGGCCCCGTCCCTGTGGTGGCCCCTCACCTGCAGACAGGTCCCGCGGCAGCAGCCTTCGGTGGGGGACGCAGGTGTCACCGGGGCGGCAGCGCGTGTCCTCGGGGCACCACGGGGCTGCGGGTGACACGGGGGGGGGGTGGGGCAGGGGGGAGGAGGGGC